GAGAAGGAGCGACAAAAAATCCTACTAATTTTATCAGATGATTGACTGTAATTGTTTTATTATAAGAACCTCAGTACAAAGCCACCTCCTGCCTTGATTGGATTTTAAGAGCAGAACTGATGTGCACACAACAGATTTCAGATTAGTGATAACAACAGGTGAACTCTGACTGCAGCAAAGAATGAACCTGTTTCTATGAATGCAGAGGTATAAATAACTGATTCTTCCAGTGATGGCAGCAGCTGTATAACAGCCTCCCAGTCAGAATATGATGTAACCCCAGGCCTTGCAACATGTCAAACCCCTAGGAAAATCCTAGGCAAAATACATACTAACCTCCTCTGTTATCTTACACATACAAGTTTGCAAGTTTATTTTTCATTCATGTCTTGCTCAGATACAATTTTGTTTGTCATAAATCCTTCATTTGGATATCTGTTATATCTAGCAACTCCATAAAAGCTATTGTTTAGTTAATTAAATAAAAGCTTTTAATAGTAATGCTGTAATGAAGAGCCCCCTTTAACCTGCCAGTTCTCATCATATCAATAATGCCCAAATTATACCAGCAACAAGAAGGTTGAAACAAAGAATGAATTTTGTTTCTGTATCTCCAAATCCTGTTCCTATATTGTGCATACTAATTAAAGGTGTAGCTACAATAACTGAATACCTCAGAAGTCTCCAGTGCCGCACATCAGCAATATCATACACCAGCAAAATGGATCACGGACAGCAAGCAAAATAAGAGCAGCTATATTAGAACTCATTTCCTAAACACTCAGCCTCTGCATCAGTCCAGGTTTCATGCTGAATTTCAAATTTGAATTATTGCAAAGGTCAGGAAAGACAAAGAAATAATGCTCATCGTTCATTAGATAGATTCATTTTGTGTCATTTTGGCATTACTTCTGCTGAAGATTTCCATAGGTAATCAAGTGTATCTTCATTCCCTACACAGCCTACACAAATATGAGTTTTCCAATGCTCTGCAGAAGCAGAGGGCCAGGACACTCCATATGTCAAATCAGTCATAATACTTTCATTTTATGACTGAGCATTTGGGGTATCCTTTACCATAATCATTTTATGTTTCCCAGTATTGTTGGCAGAACAGTGTAAAATATGAGTGCTAGAAGTACTTTAGGAATTCTGTCTCCTAGTTTTGCTGACTTAAAATTGAATGTCAGAAAGCTCATATTTCCAAATAAAACTCCAGCCCCCTCACTTCTGCAAATCACTTGGGAGAAGGCAGTGCACCAAGCTATTGTTTTCTGTTCTTGCTTTTCTGCTCTGTTGAAGCATCCTTATAAGCAGATACTTACATCGTTCTTCTAGGAAGGGGACCCACCTACCAGTGTCATGCTGACTTCATCATCCTCCTGCGTTGTACATCTTTCAGCTGTGCAACACAAACCCAGGGGATGATGTAAGGAAGAAGAGTATTAAACAAACTGAACCTCTCCATTTCACTTCGAAGGAAATCTCTGCAAGCTGTTGTTTATAATCAGTCTAGTTCTAAGCTGGACATGTGGAGATTCTGTTTTGTTTTGTTGCTGACTCTGCAAACTGATACTTGGAGAGAACTGTCTGGGGAAAGCAGAGTCCTTTATTATGGCCATCACTGCCAAGTGATTTGGCAGATTCCTCCATGAGATGCACAATCCAATAGGTTATGTGTGAGAGATCAGCTGGCCAGTTACCAACAGAAAAGCTCAACTTTAACAGTTTTAAAATCTTATTATAGCCAATTTGTGGTTTTGGCTAAAGAAAGGAGGAAGATGAAAAATAGAAGTAGTTGGGTGTCAGTAAAAGATGGAACATTGAAGTAATTTTCATTGCTGTGCCACAGAGAAAAAAAAAATGCTGGCTTTATACATAGGTTAAATCTCATTGAGGCAAGCTCATGCACCAACTTTCAGGTACGTGCTTAGGTAAAACTGCAAAGATGCTATCATTTGTTATAGCCTTTTGTCTGGAAGATTGAGGTAATGCATCTCTATCTAATGAGCCTAACAAGACCCGTTTTTCTGACTGCTGTGGACAGAGGGCATTGGAAGGGCTTTTGCCTATTGTGCCTTTCACCAGAAACTGTCACATCTGTTTTGTCTGGACCTGAAGGGTGAAGGGAGTTGGAGAGTTGCTTTCACTGCTTTCAGTGATTCCAAATGGCATTTCTTGATAGAGAAAATGAGATTGTTTGTTTGAGAAACCAAATTCCCTGTCAGGCATAGTCTGGGAAACTGAGGATATGAGAAAGAAAATAAAATCTGTTAGGATGAAGTATAAACATCCATAAAACTGAATAGTGAAACACCTACAGAGAAGGTTGTAGTTTGCCAGCGAACTAATTAAAGTCACTGAATGAGGAGGAAGGTGTGACAGCTGAATAGTTAAAGTAAAAATAAATCAGAAGTTTAGCTAAGCAATTATAACAGGAAATTACCTCTGGAGTTCCCTCTCCTGCCTTCTTTTCCTGGTCCTGCTTCCCACTGACTGAGCAAGTTCAGAGAAGTGACTTCTAATCTGGCAAGCCTCCAGTGCTGGTGCCCAGCTATACCCATAGAGGTCATCACAGACAAGCACCTCCAGTTCCCTGCAGCGGGTTTGGGAGAGCACAGGATCTCTATTCTGTCTCTGCAGCCAGCTGCCTCAGCTGCAGAAACCTGTCCTCCCCATCCTGCTCCAGGCAGCCATCTCAGAGCTGCCCTGCCTGCAGTGTGTGGCTAGCTAACGTATTGCCTGGGGAATCTGATGTTTTACCATTGTTTCTGGTTGGCACAGCATACTGCAGTGGGAGTTCTATGTTCTAATACTGTTTATAAACATGCGTAGGACTTCTCAGACATGCTCTGTCTCCAAAGTCTACGCTATTGCTTTTGGAAATAACATGCTCAGTGACCTGTACTTTTTTCTGAAAGGACTGCTGCTTAGTAGGGGTAATGAAGCTGCCTTCCCAGCTATGACCAGAGGAAGAGTTTAAGTACAGTGCCGCTGAAACTGAGAATTGGAAATAACTCTCTTCCACTGCTCAATAGCATAGCCTCAGTCAAAACTACAAACAAAGCAATCCATGACACCTCAGGAGGAGGGGAAACATCTCACAATCATGGGAGCTCTCACAGGGCTCCTATTCAGTTCCATGAGAACTTGTAAATGAAGAGAGCATGTGGCTCCTTCTTACACTGACTTGAGCTGTGCAACAAATTCCTCAGAGGCAGTGCCAAATTAAGTGTCCTGAATAAGGACGGCTCCATAAATTGACATTTTCCTGCCCTACATTCAATTGCAATCTCCATCTTTATCAAGGAACACCATGGATTGGAGGATTAAACCCTGGGTGCCTGCCAGCACTCATTTAGGCATGAAAGTCCAAATGTTTCCCATTATACTGAGCACTTTTTTTGTGCAGTGTAAATGCATGTCTTAGCATCAGCTTCATCTTCACTATGAGCCAGAACACTTACAGCGGCACATCAGGTCATGAAAAACTATTGGAAGTGTTTGTCTGTTTGTGCTGCCACATCTGATTTTTTGAAGAATAATTACGCTGAGGAAAAAGCACCAAAAATAAATAAATAAATAAATAAATAATAAAAATTAAATAAAAATAGGGCCAGTGTGTCAGAAAAGGTTTCGGGTGCCCCCTGCTTGTCTCCCATCTGCCAGGGTGCAGGATTCAGTGCTTGATGCTCTGTTCCCACGCGCGACACCGGAGGTAGTGCAGTGAACACCACCAGCCATGGGAGCTGGAGTCCCAGTGTGCCTGCCAAGCTCAGGTCTTCTGCCAACCACCTGCTTTTCCAACCAGTGTTTTCACATAGAAAGCAATTTGGACCTACACACTGAGAAATCGTACAAGCTCCCAAAACAAAACATCCCCTTTCCCAGCACGATGGGCCATTTAACTTTTGTAAACTTAATCTGGGAACTTAAAAAAAAAAAAAAAAAAAGCTCCAACAGCATGACATGTGAACAAATAACAAAGCATCCTTTGATAGGTGATCGTACCATCCTGCCATAGCACAGGGGAAGTCTCTCACTCTAGACAACAATAAACAAAATAGAGTGAATATGCGGGCAGCATTTCAACATCTGCTAGAGTCTCTGGGAAAGGAGCTTCATGCATACAGCTCTTCTCAGGACAGCTGTATGCAATACTCATCGTCACCTTAAAGTATTAGTGTTTTTATGTATATCGCCATATTTCTGTTGAATACGACATAATCTGATTGTTAAAAAAAAAAAAAAAAAAAGCTATTTACATAAGATCATTGCCAACTCTAATAGCTTCCCTGGTAAGCAGGCTTTCTTTAGGCAATATTTAATATTTCAACATCATGGCAGTTCATTACATTTGGGAATCCTTTCCTGTTTCCTTCAAAACAGAAGATCAGTGAAACATTGTTTACAGCGAGCAGAAATCCTAATGAAGTTCATGAAATTAACGATTTCCTTTGATCAAAATCTTATCTTTCCTTCATACTTAACCTCAGTTTGACTGTCACATATAGCATTGCATACCCTCATACTAGTGTATCACCTGCATTTCAATCATTAAGGCCAAGTAATTCTTACTTGCAAAGCTTTCTTACTGAAAGCTTCCCTTGGGGAAGATAAGGATCTAGCCACTAAAGCCTACTGAGCTACTTCTCCAGATGCTATGTATATTCATAACAATACTTATTCAATATATGATTGGTTATAGTGAAATTCGTAATAAAAATATTCACTGCAAATGTGCACAAAAATTTCTAAATGCTGAGTTCAGTGCCAGAAGTGTTGCAAGCATTCTTGAATTTTTGTATACTTCTCAGAAGTACCTTTTTGAACTTAAACTTGAGCTTCAACATACAAACTATTCCTTAAGATATGACCTGCATGCTGCCTGTCTCCAGTATCTTTTTCTCACAGTTTCCTGTACAAAGACCTTGTTTTACTGCTCTTTCATTAAAGTGTGTTGATCACTCATTGCTACTCATTTTTTTTGTTTTCTTTAGGCTCGTCCGAAGGGAGAAGGCCTGACCCCGTACCAGGGCAAGAAACGCTGCTTCGGTGAATATAAGTGCCCCAAATGCAAGAGAAAATGGATGAGTGGAAACTCCTGGGCTAACATGGGACAAGAGTGCATCAAGTGCCACATTAACGTTTATCCTCACAAACAGGTAGGAGAAGAACCAACCTGGTGGCATACAGTCTTGGAAATTGGAATTCTCTTGAATTTGGATAGCATGGCTATGACCTAAACAGGACTTGGCATGGACAACAGCATGCCACAAAATAAAATTAAAATAATAATAAAAAAGAAAACACAACCTTTCATAAATGAGCTGCTGTTTTCAGAGTCCTGGGGAAGTGAATTACTTCCAGTTTCACAAAATTTGAATACCCTTTCAGTAAAAATACCTCCAAAACAAAGTCTTTACTTATCTTTATTATAAAAACAGACTTTGGGACCATATAGTCTGAGATGGAACCATTATAGAGAAGACAAGTTCAGCAGTAGCAATGGGCCTCCTGATACTTCTGACTCTCTTCATATTTACACCAATTAGCTGCTTTATTGCACTGGTGTCAGTGAAGTTATTTCCAAAGAATAATTTTTTTGTTCATCCATTTAAATAAGATTGGACTTGGATAGGGAGATACATATTTATAAATATGTAGTACGAGCGATAAAATAGAAGAAATACTAAGAGGACCCCTACTTACTAAATAACTTAGTTAAACAGTAAAGCAAGACAGCCTGTGTAAAAAGGCATTTCTTGTTTTCCATAGTACTTGGTGGTGCCCAGGCTAGGAACTTCAAGAGAAAGTCTCTTAATAAGCTGAAACAGTCAAGTGTAAGCAGTAGCTCTAATAAGAAATCCATATCTGCAATGCTGCTAGCCATAGCCTTCATTCCTGCCCCCTCTGGAGTGCAGCTGCATCTCCTGCATTTCCAGCCCCCTGTATCTGCTATTTACAATGGGAAGACTGACTCAGTTCTCGTCTGTATCCTGTCAGAAGTGGTTGCAAACCACCATCTAATACAGTGGTAGTTAATGAGAGACTGATCAATTGCTCAGAACAACTAAGCTCACACTCCTCATTTTGCTGACAAACCAGGCTACAGACTGATTTTGTTGAAGTTGGATTTTCATGCAAAAAGTAATTTTTAGCAACTCACACACACACAAACAAAAAAATAAATAAAATTACTCAATAGATGCTAGAAAGTACACAGAGCTTCCTCCCCTATTAGGAAAGGCTGAGCAAACTGGGTCTGTTCAGCCTTGAGAAAAGAAGACTGAGAGGTGATCTTATTAATGTTTATAAATATCTTAAGTGTGAGAGCCAAACAGACACGGCCAACTTCTTTTCAACGGTCTGTGGGGACCGTTGTGGGGGAAATGACCATAAACTGGAGCATAGGAAGTTCTGCACCATTATATGAAGGAACTTCTTCACAGTAAGCACTGGAACAAGGCTGCTCAGGAAGGTTGTGGATTCTACTTCTCTGGAGATATTCGAGACCTTCCTGGACGCCTCCCTGTGCAACCTGCACTAGGGGGAGTTGGACTAGATGATCTTTGGAGGTCCCTTCCAATCCCTACAATTCTGTGAAAGCTTGCTTAGCATAACCAGAAAGATACAATTGCAGGCTCGCTTCTAGGGAATGACTTTACAACTTCAACTGCTATTGGAGCAACACCTGGGATTTAATGCTGCCAATTTCAGCACAGTCAAAAGAGAGACATCTGTGAGTGCATCTGTCTTAAGCCACACAGCACTTTTCTTCAAGATAGCTGATACTAAGCAAATGCAAGAAGCGTTACAGAAAAATTTAAGTGTGATTTTGCAATATTGCTGTAAATTGTTATGGATGAAATAAGTGGGAATTATTTTAAGAGTTTGGGAGGTGTAATTTGCTTCAGATGCAGTTTATCCTAGCTGAATCTCAGCAATAAATAGGGCTCTGCTATGGGTCAAATTACCTGCTGCCCACTCATAACCCATGCTCAAATCACAGATGGATTATTTGGGAGTACTTGCAATAGGTGAAAAGGAAATTCCATTGGGAGTCTTAAGTGTCTCATTAGCCAGCTAAGTGCTGGCTAAACTTTCCATGGGCTCATAAGGAACACTTCATACCATTTCATGTGATTTTGGGGAGAGGAAGCATGTTTGTAAAAAAATAATCGTAAGTAATATTGTGATTTTATTATGATGAAAAGATAGAAGTACTGAAATTCATTGCAACAAGCCACAATGGAGATACAAGCTTATTAACATTATCCCAACCAGGAAAATTTAATCAACTCTATTTCTTCCTTTTATACACATGCATATTCATCTAATTCTAAGGGTAAGTTTTGGCTCAGTTTCTATGGTAATTCTGTGTTCCCATATTCAGCTAAGATATCAATTTATACTACCTAGTACCTTGAAGCAATATAAATTGGAGTTTTTGAAATCTGACATGTTTGTGGCAGAGGGCTTGATTTAGACCTGACCCACTTAATTCACTTGAAATGATAGTTTTTTGTGGGATTATTTGTTCACTTAAATAACACACGACTATTTCCACTGTAGGATGAACAAATGGCCAAGTCAGTGAATATCACTGTTTCTGCTGGACAGTTCAGATGATGTAACCCTAATCCTAATCCCCCTCCATCTCTAGGTTAACACCACTCTGATTCCAAATCTGAAAACAAGAGGTTATCTTCAGAAACCTAAATTACCTGATGAGACACTAGTTCAAAGCTTCAGAAGTCTCTGATTCCTTGCTCCTGCTTAGACAGCTTGCTTAGAACAAAATCCAGGCTGAGCATTTATTACACATAAAGAAGTAGAGTCTTGATGGCAAGAGGAATTACAACACAAGTTTATAAATATTTACTTTGTTCTTCTAAATAACCTCCATCATTTTTGTTAGTGTTCAAAGAGTCACAAGAACTTGCTCAGGAAGTATCCCATCCACAAAAGACATTATATACTGGGGAGTAAAAATGTTGTATAGTAAAGGAGGTTTGCAAGCAGTCCCCTGGGGAGAGCTGCCCCTCATGGCAGGGCTAGAGGAGTCTGTGAACTGCATAGCACAGACATCGAAGACTCTGTGGATGGGCTGCAGTCCACAGTGCTTCTTCCTTGTATATGAACATGTATATGAACAATCACAGCATGTGCAATGCAGGTTTACACCTGACCTCCATCACTGTGTTTCCACATCATCCCCTAAGACCATAATCTGGGCTTTACTCTTCTTACCAATCCATGTGTCCATGTCTCATTAGTAGTTGGTGGTGCCAGGTGAGATCTTCAAGTCTGGACTATGCATTTCAGCTAAGCTTCCAGATGCAAAGAACCTGCAGCCAGTCAATAGTGCTTTTTCCCCCAAATCCAAACTTACAACCTCAAGTTGAAAGATTTATCATTCTGTTGTTTCTCATCTTGCCTTACCTCTGTCTGATTCTATATCTCAGTTTTACTACTGCTATTCTTTCAATTCTTTTTCATTCTTCCAGTGCCTTGTATTTCTAATTAAATGTATCAGCTATAGCCAGACAGTAAAGAAAACATCAGTTCATGCACAGAGCTAGCAGCAAAGGATCCAGCCCTAAGCATCCAGCCCCACACCAGACTTTAAGCATATCTTATACATGGCTATGGGTTGCTGTTCTGCAGCTTTTTAAAAATGCGCTGTACTCAGTCAGCAATACTTTTATGGTAATGCTATGTATTTTATAAAAGCATAGTGATTGATTGTTCTAATTAAAGAGTCCCGTGTTTTGAGTTTGAAGGTTAAAGCATAGGCACATACTATGGATGTAAGATTTAGTGGTATTATAATAAACTATTAGAACTACCTACACTCCTTTATCATTTTCTGTATACATTTCTTGCTTTTCCTTCATTTTCATTATTCTGTTGACATATACCAAAGGAGAGTTCTCATTCATGAACAGCGTTCCCATGCATTTCTAAACAAACATTTTTTTCCCCCCTCTCAGTGCATCAATGGAAGTTCTTAGTTAATTCTGGGCTCCTAGTGACTTCATTATAAGGGCTTAGACAGTACTTCCACTCGTCTGGATCTTCCAGTGAACATCTTTTTCAGCTTAATATAATAAAGACACTCCCTCTCTCTCTAGAAGCTGTTTTTACACTCAGTACCTGTACAGATAAATCTCCATTCAAGAAATAAATTGATACTGCTGTTTTATAATGTCTGTTCTTTCACTGCAGTTACCATACTACATGATATTAGTATATATATATTTTTAATTTAAACTAACAAAATTCAGATGAACTGGCCAGTCAGAAATTTCACCTCCGTTCTACTTCAGACAGTATTACTTCTAGCAGATTAAATTATTTCTTCTCCAAAACAATCTGGTCAATATACGCCCTCTGCAATGTATTTTAACTCAGCATCCTTTTCTTACTCCTTACCCTACCATTTGGTAATCAACTTTTTTTTCTTCCTCCATCTGTTAGGTCACAATAATATCCTTACATTATTAGAAGAGGGTCATTTTGTTGGCAGATGCTAATCATTGTTATTTCCTCAACCTTATGCTGAGTTACAAGAGCCTTCAGAATTACAAAAATTACCTAACTGCAAACAGTCCAGGCCATTTCTAAAAATACAGTTATCACATTTCCCTGGTGAGGGCATATTACAGCATCTCCATTTCCATACACGTATACTGCGTGAAAGAATTGGCATGATGATTCTGTCATAAGAACTCGTATCAGGTCAGATCTACATCCTCCATTTCACACACCATCCTACGCAGTAGAGAGTGCCCACAGGAAGGTATGGATCTAGGATAAGACACAGCAACCATCTCCAAGGATACTTCCTCATCCCTCCAGTATTGCCTCTAAGTTCCCCCACTCATCCAGCAGACCAGTATCTCTAGAATCTATTCAGTAGCTGAGGCTTAACCACATGGGCCACCATGTGTTTTTTTTTAATGTCAACCCTGAATATTGGAGATTAGGATGCTTTTATCCAATTTAGGAGAAAAATTTTGAAATTTTTATATTAATGATTGCTTGATATATGCTGTTGTGAATTAGAAGTTCAATCAATTCCCAGGCTTGCCCTTTTTACTAGTCATCATCTTCATCTCTTTACTTCATCTTACTCAGATGCTTTACTCCATCTGTGGAC